GAGTATTCGATATGCCAGACACAGTAACAACAAAGTCTCCAATGGAGACGTTACTGGGCCCGCTCGAGCAAATCGACGATCAACGGGAGGGCCTTTACCTTTACCTTAATGAGGCTTCAGACATAGCTATAAAATGTAAAGAGGGGTCAAAGAGATGTATAGTGGTTAGGGTGCTCTTCTTGCATGTGACTGACCAGGGTTCAGTCCCCAGTGTTGCATGTTGTTCCCAGAAGCCTGCTAGAAGTATTTCTTGAGTGTAGAACCAGGAGTAAGCCCTGAGCACTGCTGGCGTGTCTCCCTCCGGGCCCTGTCTCCCACTCAATTTATTTATTTTCTTTTTGAGTCACGCCCAGCGATGCACAGAGGTTACTCCTGGCTCATGCACTCAGGGATTACTCCTGGCGGTGCTCGGGGGACCATTTGGGATGCTGAGATTCGAACCTGTGTCGGCTAAGTGCAAGGCAAACACCCTACCCGCTGTGCTATCACTCCAGTTCCCCCACTCAAATTTCTTAAAAAATAATTTGACAAGGTGCTAAGATACGATTGTATTTCTCAATCCTGACTCATCTAATGAGGCCTGTATAAGGAGACATTCCCTGAATATCTCCAGCACTGGTTTGGCCTGAAAATTTGAAATTTGGATTGATCATACTACAAATAATGGTATCTAACTATCATCAATGCTAATAGTCGCAATGGATAAATAGTAACTTTTTGCTAAAAAATAAATGATGTTGTTTGTATACTTTTAGTCAAGTACCTTTGCTTAAATATTCTGTTTTGCAGTGGTGGTGTTGGAGAATGAATTGATGTATGGCGTTCCTTTCGAACTTTCCACGGAAGCTCAATCAAAAGATTTTCTGATTCCTATAGGAAAAGCCAAAATAGAAAGGCAAGGTAAGAGAACTCATGTCCATTTAAGCATTATTGTGATCCAGCCCTTCTATTTAAATAGGTTAGTTCAATCTAGATAAGGAAGTTATAACATGAGTTTGAATTAAGAATGTGTTATGTGGGGCTGGAAAAACAGTACAATAGTATAGTGGATATGGCACTACCTTTGCATGCAACTGTTGGGGGTTCTGTTCCCATCACCACATATGGTCTCCCAAGCCCCTCCAGGTGCGATTCCTGAGCACAGAGCCAGGCGTAAACCTTGAGCACTGCCAGTTATGCCCACTCCCTGCCAAAAAATTGTCATGTGCTGATTGCTCATACACTTGTGTTTTTTTCTCAATCATGGTTCAGTAGATTTATAATTTTGATGGGTGAGGTGGGGCCAGGTTGACTTTCACCCAACCAGGCCAGCGGTTTAAAATTCAATACTAGGCCCCAAGAATGTGGTGTTGCTTGGACCCTGCAGTGTCACTGATCATCTGGGACACCTTGCTAGTGCTGGGGCGGGAGTGTCAGGGTAGGAAGTGGGGAGCATGTGGTGCCAGGGATTGGGCCGGGCTCAGGTCCATGCCTTGTGACTGTACTCCCTCCTGGCCCCAAGTCTGTACTTAGGGTTAGGATAGCTGCCACATTTCCTCAACTCACTAGGATGAAGTTAAAGATTTTTCAGATGAATGGGCAACAGCTGGCTACACAGTGCAGCATCTGTATTTTCAATCTGCCTCTGATCTGTGGCCATTCTATTTCAGGGACACATGTAACCGTAGTTTCCCACTCCAGACCTGTGGGCCACTGCTTAGAAGCTGCGACAGTGCTCTCTAAGGAGGGAATTGAATGTGAGGTAAGTGGACAGTTTATTTCAAGATCAGATAGTGGTGTGGGAAAAGCAGAAAGATAAATGGGTAAAGCCTTCCATGCCACTGACCCCCATTTCAATCCTTGGTGCCACACATGGCCCCCCCAGTCACCGTTGGGAGTGACCCCCTGAGCACAGAACCAGAAATAAGGCCCTTGGGGCTATTACACCACTGAGTGCGACCCCAAAACAAATAAAGGTTTTTATTTAATGACCCCAGAGAGTCACACGTGCGGCACCAGCACTCTACGACCGAGATACATATCCCTGGCCCCAGAAAGATTCTTTCAAAACACTAAGAACTAGAAATTGGAATTTGAATTCTGTAGCAGGTTATGTAAAATTTTGCTTTGTTACTTCAAACCTCTGCTTGTACCTGGAGACGAACTTTTTTTCCGATACTTCTCTTTTTACTGTGTACGTTTCGGAACTTTTAGAATAGTTTCATATTTTTGGGGGGGGGGGTTACACCCAGCACTACTTAAGGGCTATTCCTAGAGGTGCCTAAGGGGCCACGTGGTGTTGGGCTCAAACATGGACTTCTCCAAGTAAAGCATATGCTCTGGTCCCTTGAGTTATTTCCTTGGTCCCAGTACCTGCTTTGGGAGAGGTGGGTGTGGGGGGAGGTGGGGATGCTGCCCTATACCCAGTGGTGCTCAGGAGGACCCCCCGGTGGTTTTGGGGGAACCATTTGTGCGGGATTGCAGCCGGGGTCAGCTGTTCAGGTAGAGCAAGTACCTTCCCTCCTGTACTGTCTATTCCACAGTAAGTGCTTGTTTAAGATGAGACATAACTTGGAGCTAGAAGTCCAGAGAAGGAAAACTTAGAAGTTAAGTCTGATTTCTAGGACTTAACACACTTGAGAAAATTACATATCATACCTTAGCTTCCGTAGCCATAAAATGAGGATAATATATTTTCTGTTCTGTCATGTCAGAGGTGAAATTTATACTTAGTGTGATACCTAGAACATGGCAATCATTTTAGTATTCGCTATTTCGATGAGAGGGAAGATACAGCCAGGGGAGGCTAAGTGAATTCTTGATTAAACGGCAGCTTGAAGTGGATTTGAAATTGGGCATACAGATTGTCCTTTCATGGTTTCCCCCCACCTCCTAGATCGAGAGCTTAACAGGAAGGAAAACAGAAATGAATTTTGGAGATACGATTTTATTTGTGACGCATTGGTTCTGTACTTGATTTGTTTAGGTGATAAATATGCGTACCATTAGGCCAATGGACATGGAAACAATAGAAACCAGTGTCATGAAGACAAATCATCTTGTCACTGTGGAAGGAGGCTGGCCACAGTTTGGAGTAGGAGCAGAAATTTGTGCCAGGATCATGGAAGGTATTTCAGATAAACTGGTTCTAGAATAGTTAAGCAGTAATAAACATTTCGTATCTTGCTGCTGGATAGAAAGACAAACAGTTAGGGGTTGACCAGCAGCTTGAACTTGCAGCCTGTCACTTTTCCTCTATCTAGCTTTAAAAGCAAAGCAAGAAAAATTCCACTTTATTGTTTACTTTTCCCCACCCCTTTCATTGTTGCTTTCGCAATGATGGGGTTGCACACCTGCCTATGGCCCTCGCATCCATGTTCTCCCGAGCCCACAGGCTATGTTTGTGGTGCTCCTTGGGGGTTGATCCCTCTCCTGTGGTGCTTATACGTACCAGGCTGTGCTGAGGACAGAACAGCTCGTGGTATAAAGGATCACAGGAAAGAGTTGCCAGGATTGTGCTCAGTACTTGTGGGGGCACTGGGGGTTGGTGGTTATCTCTGTGCTTGCAAGGCAGATGTGGTAAGCCACTGTAGGATTCCTCTCAGTCCCGGAGTTCACTTTTGATTTTTTCTTCTTCGGGCAGCCACACCTTTTATGCCTAGCTGTGGTGGTGCTCGGTTGGCTGTTCGGTGGGTGGGAGTGGCAGGAGGGGTGTTGAGACCAAAGGTACTCACACGTGCAACGCATGCACCTCCTTACGCAACGGCATCTCTGGCCCCTCAGCTGGTTTTTCTCGCCTCTCATTTGAACCTTCTTTCCTAGGCCCTGCATTTAATTTCTTGGATGCTCCGGCTGTCCGTGTCACTGGTGCTGATGTCCCTATGCCTTACGCAAAGATTCTAGAAGACAACTGTGTACCTCAGGTTAAAGACATCATATTTGCAATAAAGAAAACACTGAATGTCTAGTTTAGACGACCTTCAAGTCATTGGTATTTACTTGTAATAATTGCTGACACTTTACACATGGATTGAATTATAAGATCTTATGAATCATAAAATCATCTTTAAAGCAACAATGCAGATGTTTTTGTATGGGAAGATGCTTAAATACGCTTGGTTTGTGGAAAAACTCTCCACTCTCCTGCCTAAGACTCCATTTTTTTTGGTCTGTTACAGTTTCTATATTCTTTGAATAAGACTAATTGTAAAATTTTGCCCTCATTAGAAGGACAAAATCGAATATGTAAAAATAATGAACATAATCTGCATTTACTGTAAATTTTGATAGGGAATAAAGAAATTCCTAACTGACTAATTGTGTTTTACATTTTGAAGTAATAAATGTGGGTTGGAAATGTCAAAATTTTATTAGAAATTCAGTGTCATTAGGAACTAATCACTATTTAATGAACAAGACTGCAGGGCACTTAGGAATTTATTCCACCACTCGCCTCCATTAGGCTGGGGATTTAACCCAGGTTTGATATGCCAAGCACAGTAACAAGTCTCACAATGGAGACGTTTCTGGGCCCGCTTGAGCAAATTGATGAACAACAGCAGACCAGAGGCACATACCTAGCCCAACTGAGACTTGAAATACTCTAAATTTTGCCATCCTATCAGACAAAATTACGTCAGTTACTTTTTTTTCATTTCAAAAAAGTTATACTGCTCTCTTCAAAAGTTGAGAGGGGCAAAGCAGGTTTAAGGTTGTCAGAGAAGCATATGAGTGATGTCCAATTTCAACAGAAAGACATTTCAGGGGACCAGAGAGATAGTAGTGAGTGGGCAGGGCATTTGCCTTGCACATAGCTGACCCAAGTTCAATTCCTGAGCACAGAGCCAGGAGTAAGAACTGAGTGTAGCCAGGATATGTGGCCCAACTCCCTATCCAAAAGACATTTCATCAATTGAGGGAAAAAGAGATTTTATGGGTACAAAGGAAACAGCATGTGGATCATGCTCCATGTTTACAACAGGTGCTATAAAAGTTCTCATTTAAAATAACCAGTCTACAGACATTTTCTTGACATGGTTTATTTTAAAAAATACAACTGAACATTTATCACAGATTACATGAAACTATACACAATAACATTCTGTCTGCATAGTAACCAACACTGATGTGTATACTTGAATTTTTAAATGGATTATTTATAATCCTTTAAAGTGCAATTTATTAAGGGTGTAAGCAAATCATAGGATAAAGGATCTCTTATAAATGAGTTACAATAAAAAGATATATTTGGATAAATCTTTGAAAGATGCCAAATTTCCTTGTATTATATAATACTATTACCCCCCACAAACCCAAAACTTGACTTCATTGCTGAGAATTAAGATCCTCTAGTTGGCAAGAGCTTTTCCTGACTTTTAAAAAATCTGTTCAGTACGTTCTAACTGAAAGGAATTTTAAGTCTAGAAGTACTTGCATCAGCAGCCCTGAGTTCTACACCACCATGGATTTCCTGTTGGAACACAGAAGAATGTTAGACCTTCCTGTTCTAGTTGAGAGGAAAACTCCGTTGCCTCTGACTTAGCAACTAACTATGCCTAACACTAGTTAAGACATTAACTAGTGTTAATGTCTAACATGAAATTAAGAGGGTGAAAATGGTAGTTAAGAAATAACCAGTTAATGCCTTAAGAAAAGAGAAATTAACTCTGAGGAACATTCATAGGAGCTGTCTGAAGAACACTAGGGACAGGCAACACAACAAGGGCCATTCACTGTGGTGACTGGGTATTGTCACAGTTATTCTGTGCTTCCTTAAGTTGGTGCAAATACTGTTGCCAATGCTGCTGGCTCCACCCCCCTCCCCCCAGTGCCCATTAGAGGATGAACAAGACTCCTTTAAGATGGTCATAAAGGAGCAAATATTTCTTAATGCAGCAATGTCTGCCTAATTTTATCGAACGTTTCCCTCTTGAAAACTTCTTACATCAGCATCTGCAAAACAGTATGTGGCTGTAACTGGCTCAGCAATTATTCATGGGAACAGGGTACTTGAGAGGTGGGGAAAAAAAAAAGCACTTCTCTCCAAGTGTAAACCCAAAGCTTTAGCCTATCTTAGGAGCGCTGTGATCACAAGTTTCGGCTTTCCTCAAAGTTCCTTTTTGGAAATTCTGGATGGAGCTGAGTAGGGCCGCTCGGCCCACCCCATTCACAGTCTGGGGCAGGGGCTGCGTGGGCCCTTCCGTGCTCGTGCTTGTGCTCGCAGGAGGCAAGGGAGCTGCTGGTGGTGGAGGCGGCGGTGGAGGAGGTGGAGGTAATGCAGATAACCCTGTGGAGGAAAAGTAGGGGCAGTCAGAACCATCTCCCCAGCACTCTGCTTAAGTGCTATACTCAGTCCCAGCAGAATGTGCTGTAGTGAGTCTGCAATTGTTTTTCTAGGAAACGGTGGTTCAAGATACCCTGGTACTCTATGATTTTTTTTTAAAAAATACTAAACAAGACTCCAAGCATCAAAGAGGAATTAAATGGCTTACCACATAGAAAAGACTAAACATAAAGATCACAGGAAACTACTAAGTGACATTCTGCATAAACGAAGCTCTAGCTTTTGAGATCTTACTAACAGTCCCCCAAGAGAAGTTCCATTGGCTACTTTACGCCCTGGCTACTCTGTGCACTGAGATAGCCATGAAACTAGCCCTCAAATGCACAGTGGAATTACCTGAGTATTGGTGACTATGAGGGGTGGCAGCGCTTTGCTATTCCTGCACATACAAAACTTGAAGAATGTGATTTAATATGAAATGACAAACCACTTATGAGTCTCAGTAAGGACGCAGTGCCTGCTGGGTTACGGGCTCCCCGGGGGCTGTCTAAAATAATTGTTCTTCAACTAAGTTGTCTTACAAAAAAAAAATGTATCTTGCTAATAATAGTTTGCAATGTGAATCAGGGGCAAGGGGAATTTCTCCCCAGTAGTAGTATTCTTGGGAATCTCCCTCAAGCACTCCTCTTTCCACTGTGGCCCCAACCCAGGATCAGAACTAAACTGGCTGAACCCTACATTTCTGCTGATGCGTCTGGAGACTGTAATGTCAAGCTTAACCGTAATGAGCAAGAAGAAGGAAGCCGCCTATGTATCTAAAAGCATCCAGGCACATGGGCACTTGGTACCTGTTTTGAATTCAGAAATTGTTCTCTCAGGATAAAATAAATAAGGATCCAGAAAAATCCTGCCGTGAAGAACCTGCCTACGCCAGAGCTAGCAGCGTCCTCTTGCGCAAACCTCTCACTCTTGGTAGCTCTGCTTACCTGTTTCAGGCCCTACTCTCCTGTCTCCTCATGCTATACCAAGAGGCATACTAGGTGGTTCCCACTCACCATCCCCTGCAAAATTGCTGCTGAGCTGCAGTGATAACCAACATAACAATTGCAACTTGAGCATATGGAATCAGCAATAAAATACTTAGGTAAGCACATCCTTTGAAAACCAGTTTAGCAGGCAAGTGTTAGAGTCTTGTATTTTATAGAAAACCACTTACCTCCCTTTCCATCTTTTACCCAAACCTAAGGCAGCTGAAATTAAAGAATCACACAGATACACACATTCATGCTTTGCAATCTCGGAATGCTCAAATCATAAGAAAGCAATACAAATGACCATTATAAGTACAGACACGTGGACAACATGTAACTATCATTGGTCCCAACAAAAACAAACAATGGATGATATTCAAATATGTTCTATGCCAGGGTGGTGGGAAAACATTATGACACAGCATTACAAAGAAGAAAAGGATTTTAAACGTAAAATGACAACTGAAGTCTGGAGAGCCAGAAAGAATTTGGGTGTGATACAAAGGCCCCTCTGAAGGAGAATTTGGAGAGTGACCAGTGAAAGACAAGGCAGAGGGGAGACTGCCCTTGAGAGAGCCTGGGACTCAGCTAGATCAGCCCAACAGCCTGGAGGAGTGAAAGGATGCCTGTGTGACCCCTCCACCCCAACGCCATCCCTCACCCATGTCAAAAAAGGGCAACGGGGCCTGGCCCTGACATTCAGGGCCCAATGGATACCAGAACGAGCACCAGCATTTATGTCTCCCAGTCTGTGCTGGAACCTGGCAAGAGGTCAAGCAGACAGGAAGCCGAGGTATTTGTATTCTGCTAAAGGCAAAAGGCCCATCATTGAGGCACTGGAGTGCTCCTCAAGCCCAGGATCCTTAGTGGCTAGAGGTGGGCCGTGGGCTGCCATCTTCATTCATTTTCATTTCATTTCATCATCCTGTTATTCGTCAATTGCCTCGAGCAGGCCCCAGTAACGTCTCTTTCATCCTAGCCCTGAGATTATATTCAAGGCTCTTTAGGAGAATGAGACCCATCATTGTTACTGGTATTTGGCATATTTGGTATGCCACGGGGAGTTTGCCAGACTCTGCCCGCTGTTCCAGACTGTTCCAGACAACTGCCATCTTCATGCAGAACCAAATTGCTTGCCCTTCATGAAGAATTGACACTTGATTTTTGGCTTTGTGACCAGGTACTCAAAATTTTGAAGTGCAAATTCACTATTCCAGTTTGGGACCGGAGGGGTGTTCTTTGGTATAACGGAGCTTTTATTTTCAAATAAAGGATTAAACTGCGAGCGCTCAAGCTGAACCTCTGTTAAGTGGCAGAGTGAAGAAGTACATGGTCCAAAATGCACAGGCCAGTGCACGGAGCTGTGCCACGGAGCAGATGGGGTACTGAGGGCTGGGAGAAAGGAGAAGCTGCTCATTCCAGGGATGGGGAGTGGTCACCCTGATGTCTGCTCAGGGACACTGGACCCTTGAGGTCCACTTTTCCCTCACTGGACCTGTGATAATGGGGAGGGAGGGGGCAGGTCTTGATATGTTATGCTCAGGGCATAGGAGACTGAACTTAGCTCACCATCTCAGAACAGCCCGAAGGGAAGAGGCCTAGGAGGCCCCAGGTGACTCACTGGAGGGGCAGAGATGGGAACTCACACGCCCAGGGCTGAAGCCACAACACTGAACTAATGAGGAGCGTGAGGGGACGGTGTAAGGACCACAGCCAAGCAGGCACATGGCCTGTGACAAGCTTGGGAGACACTGCCTGAAGTCTGAGCATCTCTCCCACTTCTCCAATGTGAATTCAGCTCCTCTTCCCCACAAGGCTGCCGAAGAGCTCACAGCCCTGGTCAGGGGGGGCTTGTTCAGACAAGACTGGACGGATTCTACTCCAGAGTGACTGTCAACTGAAGTCACCCAATTTTGAGAAATAATGGCTTAAGACAACCGAGCTTAAGAGATGCCACAAAACAGCTCATCTGTAATTAGAACTGGATCAGCCCTTCAGTCCTGACCTCTTCGATCTCGTTTTCTCTGAGACACACGGCTGGCTCTTAGATCCAGCTACCCCACCCTCTCCGGAATTCCATCCTCCCAACCAAATGGCAACCCGGCCGTCCAGGGGAGGCCCCGGGACAGGGCACAGGCTGTTCCTGCAAAGGCACAGGCAAGATCCAGGAGGAGGCTCGCCAGAAGTGCCAGTGCCAAAGCCACGGAAAGGACACTGGAGCGGCTCCTTCCGCTCGAGCCAGCTTTCGTCTTAGAGGTCTCTGAAGCACAGAGACTCTACAGAGAGACGCGGGGAGCCCACCCGGCCAGCAGAGCCTCTCCAGATGTGCCTGCTACCTCTGAGCGGGGACAGACAGCAGGTACCTCAGCAGCAGGCAGCCCCCTGCTTTTAGGAACCGCCTTTGCCTTTCACCTCAGATAAGGAAGCTGGATTCATGTCCCAGTTCAGGGACCCTATTGTTTGGTGGGGGGAAGGGCGCACCCAGGGGTGCTCAGGGCTTACTCCCAACTCTGCACTCAGAGATCGTGGGGGTTCTGGGGGTCAAACCTGGGTTGGACACATTCAAAGCAAGCACCCTATCCACTGTACGATTGCTCCAACCCTTTAAGAACCATTAAGGGCTCTTTAAAAAGAACCATTTTCAGTTATAAAAGGCTGAACACCGTCTCCCTCTAACCAAGAATTCAGCTGCCTAACATCCTTTCCTCTTCATCAGCGTAACGAGGTACTAACATTATTTTACAAGCAACAGAAATTTGAAGTTCTGGCTTCCAAAATGAAAATAGCTAAAATGCCATGCAAGTGGTTTACAAATTTTAGAGCTGCATTGTACAGCTAAAATCAGAGTGGAAATGAAGATTTTTGAGGATCATAATGGAAATGAAATGGGTGTAAATGAAGTCACTGAGTGATTTTTAAAGATGCTGTATTTCATTCAAACGTTCAGATAAGGAAATTATCTCAAATCTGCTCTCCCATTTGCCCATTAGTTTAGTTACTTAGAAGCACTGGGTCCAATTTCTGTTCATACCAAAATAGAGCATCTTTAAAGACAGAGAAATCAATATCGCTTACTTTACCGAAAATTCACGTTCAGAATGGCGCATGCTCTACTGAAGACGGCAAATAGAGGAAAGAGAGGGGTAAAGTCATTATTCAGATTTTAGTGTCATTTAACCCAACAGACAGGGACTGAGTCACATGCGGATTATTCTTGCTGTCACACTGAGATAGACTGAGGTTACTCACAGAGCACACTTGCTTAAAAATGCTACCATGACCCTTTCTGAACACAGCAAAGGTGTTAATACACTAAACTATGAGTCACCTTCTTCATGGTGTTCTCCCTACTCCCAAGTTTGTCAGGTGCTATTTTTAATTTAATTTATAAGCTCAACACTCACTTCAGAAGACATGTGAAGATTTTACTTCCCATGGAACGTGGAAGGGGAACTGGAATGCACTTCATTCTATCACTAAACAGTTCTCTCAGAAAGGGGATAAAAGCTGGAGTTCATCCTACTTTCCAAACACCTCTTCTACTGTGTAAAATGGAGAGCTTCCCATTTAAATGGGAAAGAACATGAGCACAGGGCAGGGAGAGGCAGGGCAGGAGTGTGTGGGGCCTTCCCGCAGGCTGCCCTGGTCCAGGTGCTGGTATAAGGTAAATTTGTTGAGTGGTATCAGCAAAAGGCATGAAACTGTTAAGAGGAAAAAGCAAGCTCTTCCTTTTCGTTTGGTGGCAGCCATCACTAAGCCAAGGTGGACACCTCCAGGAGCTCTGGAGGAAGCAGTGGTCAGAATCACTTCTGGTGGTACTCAGGGGACCATACGGGATTCCCCGGATTGAACCCGGGGTTGGCTATACTATCTCTCTAACCACTGCAGTGCTTTTGATTTATAGATGTCCCTTCATTTCTTGAGAAAACGACATATGGTCATAACGCATAGTTCTAGGATAAAAGTGTTCTTTTAAAAGAGTAAGTTTGGCCTTAAAATGAAGACACGCGTCTGAATAAATGCATTTCGAAGAACATGGGCAGCAAACAGAGAGGCAGGAAGAGAGAGAAGGGTGTCCTGCCCAGTCTAAGGAGGGCTGGACCAGTTAGGCGCTGCTGCTACCGGGGCTGAGTCTGTCCTCACCAGGAAGAAGCCTCAAGGGTGGGCAAGCCTACGCAAACCTGCCGATGGGAATTTGCAGGGATGTGGGACACAGTTCAAAGGACTCAGTGCATATTTCGCATACCAGAAGCCTAGGTTCAATCTCTAGCACCTCATCGATGCTCCAGCACCACCAGAAGCTAACCCTGAGCACTGCTGGGTGTGACCCGAACCACACACATACACAGTGGCTCATATACTCATACAGGCACGCGCGCACACACACATACACACACAAAGAATTCAATGACCATTTTCTACAAGGTAGGATGTAGCCACACACTGCGGCTATCTGGTGCCTTGAGAAAGAAGCTCGAGCTGTTCCTTGTCAGGGAACTACTTTTTCGGTTGGAAATATTTTATGAAGGGGAACAGTGGGGGCTGGGCATGTGGCTCAGTGATTGAGTGCATGCTGGTGGGGGGGGGGGGGGAGGATCGGAGCTTGAGGAAGCTTGAGGAAGCAGCTACCGTGGCTGACCCGCTATGGTCACATTTCCGTGCAAGGCCTGTCATTTTGAAGCTTCTGAAAGCCACTAGGAACGTGACTCTGTGCTGGGGGCGGGGGTCTTTTCGTCTGCCCGTCTCTGCATCCCCTGTGCCTGGTACACCACAGCCTCTCAATAAATGCAAGTTGAGAAACTCAGTGGATAAAGCACAGGGGTGCCTCATCAGGGCCTGAACTGCCAGGTGGACAGGATCTCTCTGAGCTGCATTTTAACAAATGCCCAGAGGAGGTGAGGGTACAGTCCCGGGGGCTGAATCAACTTCACCAACAAAACAATAATAAGGAGCTAGAGGAGCCAATATTTGCTAGAAATCACTTGTCTTGGCCGGACACTGCATACAACCTCACAAAGGTTTCCCTAGAAATCAAGCTCCCTCAATCCGGAAAGGACAGAGTCACAGTAATGTTCCCCCCAACGCCTCAGAGGAAGGGTTTCTAACTCTGACCCTTGTTATTAACAATTCATCCTTTTTTTTCCTCTTTCATTCTGAAAGTTACCTCATCTCATGCAAACTTGTTGAGTGAGAACGCTCCCATTCAAAAACCACTGTAAAGGAGATGATTCACTGATTCACCCCTCCCCCCCCAAAAAAAAAAACAACAGCAAACCTGCATTAAAAAATAAGAAGTGAGAACTGTGGGGATAAGATCCCCAGGCTGTGCCCCAGGCTCCACATAATCCTCTGACCACTACTTGGGTGTGCCCCCACCCTCCTCCCAAGAGATTAAAAATATGGAAATGGTGGAATTTCCAGAATCAGATCTTGGGCTCACAGTGAGGCATTCTGAAACTATAAAACTCATCTGTAAAAGGACAGTTTGTAGAGTCTCACTGTCAATTCTCCAATTACCTTAATATGTCTAAGGGGGATGAAATTACAACCGTTCTTTCAGAAAGCAGTGGCTCTCATCAACCTGAATAAATCACCTTTACAAAGGACAAACAAGTCTTATTTTCTGTCTTGACCGATATATGCAGGCTTTCTTGTAAAATACGCCAACAAAGTCAGACAGGGAAGGCATTATCATCACCCTGGGCTAGATTTCCAACACAGGCCCAGGAAACTCTACAGGATACTCTGGGTAGCCACCCTCGCTCCATGCACAGAGACAACCAGCAGCCAGAAGCAAACCACGCCAAACCTTTGCTTGTTCTTTTGGGAGGGTCAGTGAGAAGCATTTGAAAGTGCTCAGGTTATACTCTGGGCAGTTCTGGGTACTACTTTAAGTCTTAATGAATATGGTATCTGCAACTCCTGAATCAATTCCAGCTAATGACTGTCCCTTTTGAGTCCCGATGACAGTTTTCCAAGCACAGCTAACAGGATGAATGGCAGAAGTCCTGGTTCACTTCAGGAGTGAAAGGACAAACTATCTGCATCTGCCCAGGTGTGTTTTTTTTCCTTTATCTTTTTTTTGGGGGGTGGGGGTTGGGGGTCACACCCAATGATGCTCAGGGGTTACTCCTGGCTCTGCACTCAGAAATTACTCCTGGCGGTGCTTGGGGGACCATATGGGATGCTGAACCTGGGTTGGCTGTATGCAAGGTGAGTGCCCTCCCTGCTGTGCTATTGCTTTGATCCCAGCACCCAAGTGTGTTTAGGGAACTTGTAAAAAGGTTACAAAAAAAGGTGTGTTCAGGGGCCAGAGCAACAGTACAATGGACAGGCGCTTGCCTTGTATGCAGGCAACCATAGTTCGATCCCTAGCACCCATGTTGTGACAGGCGTAAGCCCAGAGTATTGCTGAATGAGCTGCTCCCCTCTACCAAAGGAAGGTAACATTATGAGGTCTCGCTACAAAAGTAGAGATAATATTTATTAGTGTTCCCCATGTTTAATTCTTTTTACTTTTTTTCCAGCAAAACTCACAGAATCTGATTTCATCCACAAGGGTGCCATCCACAGAAAGATACTCTGTGACAAAACATATTCTAGAGTGGATCCGAGGAGAAACAGTTGGAGGCCTCGTTTATTTGAGTCCTATCCCCAGGCATTTCAGAGTGGTGCTCTGTGACGATATCTAAGGAAGCCCCAGGCATGGCCGGATACCTCAGAGAATGCTCCAGCAAGAAGGTCCGCCCCCCCCCCCCCCCCCCGCCCCCTCCCGCCCCAGAGCATCCTTCTTGTTCAGCCACATCTTCCTCCAAAGCCCTGGAAGAGCTGGAGGCAGAGGGTGGTTAATGGCTCTGAAACCAACCACCCCCTCATGATGGGACTCTGGACCAACAGACTGTCCCCAACACTGCTAGTCTGCACTCCCACAGGTTTGTCTGGAGAAGGGTGGGAAACAGAGCAGGAAGGGAAAGAATTCTGCTCCTCCAGGTGCTGGGGGCCTGGGGTGGGGCACAGGCTACTCTGTGGCCATCACTGACCTGCTGTAGAGGGTGGAGCCGGAGATGAAGGGGATGTGAGAGGTGAGCTGGCCCCAGATCCTGCTAAGAGAAAACAGAAACACTCAGTGGTTAGAGATGGGAGGAGGAAGCCAGCGCCGAGCAGCCGGAGACCCCACTCTAGGCTAGAGCAAGGGCCGGTGTGGGAGGTGGGGAGACGGTGAGTGCGGGGGGAGAGTGGGCTTCTCTGCCACGCCCTGCACGCAGGGCCTCCTCCCCGGCCACCAACCAACCCTCCTGCTATTCCCAGCAGCCTGTCTGCTTTGAAACCAACTTTGCACAATCCATAGCTTGTGCAACAATCTCTTCCCGACTCAACCTGTCCTCCTGGGTAATGGGTGCCAAATAACAGTGACCGCAGTAGTGACAGGGACCGAGGGGCACAGTGGTCTGATGGGGGCTTCTCCAGAGTCAGGGCACATGCCCCAGAGGATCTACCCTGCAGCTACCCCGGAGCTCTAAGGAGAGACTACACCACGAGAGCAGATACATTCAGTTCGGCACAGTCTCCAGTTGGTGGGTTTTCTAGGTTCTTCTAACTGAAATTTAGGGAAGAGCCTTAAGAACATGAAAGCAACGCACATATCGCCCCAGGCAGCAAGCTTCTTGTTTTTCCCAGCTTCGGGCCACATCTGGCTGTACTCAGGGGATGCTCACATGGGGTACGTGTTCTGCCAGGGAATCAGCACAGGATCTGGGTCTCCAGCATGCAAAGCAAGTGCCCAATTTGTTGGTCGTACTCTCTCTCTGACCTGCTAAAGGCTTTTACTGGACCTAGGGACTTTTGTTGTGTTTCTAATATTTCCAATTTTGGGGCATATCCTCACTGATAGAAATCTCCTTAAAAAAAAAAAAACAAAAAAATCAACCCTCTGGCATGCAAAGAAGAAGCTCCAGGGGCTGGGATGGGGTGGGGGTGGGGGTGGGGTTCTAATAGCAGAGAGCTGAAGGCCCTTCCCCCACCCCCAACATCCTTGCTCCTAGGTCTGTGAATGTGCCCCTGAGGGGCCACTAGCTGTACTGGGGACCTCACGAATCATCCTCTCATTCTTTATCCAAAGGATATGTCTGAGCATGGCACAGACACTGGGCATGAAGAGAAATGCCCTCAGTTACACTTTCTCCCCAAAGCCCTCTCCACTCTGCAAGTCCCTTACCTCCAGAGGCATTTCACTGAAGAAGGAGGTGTGCCTAGCCCAGGCCCTGGTCTGCACTGCTGTGAAGGGCTAACAGAGACCCAACAGGGAGGAGACTGAGCCTGTGATTCTGGCAGGCCCCAGAGATGAGCTCTCCACTCCAAGAACTCCCTGGCCATCAGAAACTCCCAGAGGGCATGGGGGGATCTTGGAGGCTTGGAGGGCGGTTGGCACAGAACTCTGTGGGTAGGTGGAGGATTCCGGCTCCCTTGGCTTGATAAAGAATGAGAGGACGGAATGATCGCTAGTCAGACTCTGGGTGGAGATCTGGGTCTCAGCCCGAACAGGACAATGAGTCTGGGGTCTCCTCTAACAACCATGGGAAAACCAGAACAACGCTACAAGCCCCTGCTAGCCATGCTGGCCCCCTGCCTTCTCTGCCCTACAGGGTCTGCCACTGCCTGGGTCCCTCTCTTACCTCCCTCCCTTCCACTTGTACTTTTGTTTTTTTTTTCTTTTTGGGTCACACCCAGCGATGCACAGGGGTTACTCCTGGCTCTGCACTCAGGAATTCAGGAATTACTCCTGGTGGTGCTCAGGAGACCACATGGGATGCTGGGAATTGAGCCTGGGTCGGCCGCATGCAAGGCAAATGCCCTACCCCCTGTGCTATCACTCCAGCTCCCCTTCCACTTGGGGCAGGTCCTGGAGGGGGAAACATCATATAGTGCCGGGAATCAGCCCGGGGTCCGTTGCAGGCAGAGCACGCTTGAATCCCTGCACTATCTCTCGGCCCCTTCTCCCTTGCGGCTTCACAGCCTCTGCCTCCTCATGCCACCTTCTGGCTCCAGGAGAACCAGATGGGCTTTCTCTGAGGTAAGACTCATAGCTGGGGTCTGGATATTAATCCCTTAAGTTTAGAGCCCCACAATTGCTCTTCTTTATAACTTCAGCTTCACCCTCTGCGCTAGGTCCTTTTCCTTCTTGAAAGAATCCACAGCCTTCCCTTACCCTAAACACACCCTCCCCTGCAGCCATCAACCCTCTCCATGGACAAAGCCAATAAATGAGTCAGGGGAGGTGGACGCTCTCCCCTTCTCGGAAAGGCTCTCCAAGTCATACATGCACAAGAACTGGAACGCCCCCAAGGGATCACCCAATCTGGCCCCAACTACCAAAGATGGGGTTGCCAAGGCCCAAAGCCAGCCGGGCTGGTCAAATAATAGCCAGGCGTGGCAGGAAGGGCTGGCAACCCACGACTCTGCTAGTTCCGCAGGCAGTCCTGGCATCAGATCACTTTTTACCTCCCCAGGCTGTTTTCATCCTTTCTCTAATCGGGCAGGAGGGGCAATCTGGCCCCAACTACCAAAGATGGGGTTGCCAAGGCCCAAAGCCAGCCGGGCTGGTCAAATAATAGCCAGGCGTGGCAGGAAGGACTGGCAACCCACGACGCCGCTTTTTCCGCAGGCAGTCCTGGCATCAGATCACTTTTTACCTCCCCAGGCTGTTCTCATCCTTTCTCTAATCGGGCAGGAGGGGACAGGAGGGGACAGGAAGGGACACATGGAGGAGCGAAGGGCAGGACTTGGGGCTGCTGTCTGGGCAGGAGCCACTACACGGCAGGAGGCCTTGTTCAAAGCAGGGCTGCGTCACCTTCCATGGCTTGTGCCTGTCTTTGGGTGACCAGCTGGAGCGACCCAGTGACCTCTGAGGTCCACTACGGTGCTCGAGCCTCTGCATGGTGTCACAGTTCGTTTGTTCATCACATTTATTACTATACTGCAGGGTCCCTCGACACCGGAATCCAAAGACTCTTGACTTTTGGGTCCTGCCCCCACCCCAGTCTTGAACCAGTTACCTGAATTATTGGAGTTGCTGTATTTTGCGGAATGTTCTTCACTATTTTCAATGGCAGATCGTTTTGATTTCTTTGGAAATAAAAAAAAGGGGGGGGGAGTGTAGAATACAAGAATAAACACATTAAATCTGGAAAACTGATACAATAATATTTCCCAGGCACAGTGAAACTAGCTACACACAAGGTTCTATTTGATCTCATAACTTGATACACTGAAGCCACAAGGAGAAACCAAAGTGGGAAGTAAAACCAAGAATGCTGACTTAACCATCTCAGACCAACCATTCCCCGCAACTACATTAGGCTGTAATCAGCCCAGCAAGCCAGGAAACTATATGGTCTATTTCTTTCCTGATATTATGTGGCTCTTTTTGAAAAGCTACAAAGCAGTCATCTGGAAATAGTTTTAGCTCTCGGGGAGATACAGCATAAAATCGGTTGCTAACTAAAATGTGTAACCATTAACCTAGAACCTTCTTCAGACGTAATCAGGCGGACACAGAGAGACACCAGGCTTACCTTACGAGCTAAAATCTTTCTCTTTTTCCTTTCTTCCTCGGAGCCGTGGTGAGACTGAGCTCTGGTCAGTCTTCGATGCTGGTGGATCTTTAAAGAGACCACAGTTCACCACACATGTAAGCATATCCTTGACCAAAGAAAATCCCCCAGAGGCCAAATCAAATTATCTGGATGGAAAACCCTTCCCTTGCTCTGTTGTCTGCCTCCCACCATGGGTATGGATGTCTGGGACCAGGGCATGACAAGGGATGAAGATGTCTTCCCCTCCCCCCAGTTCCTCCGTGCCTCGCTCTCCTGTAAGATGCTAAGTGCCGCGCCTAGCGCTGTTAGAGCAGCACATGCACCCCACGTCTACCCCGGGCATAAAAGAGGAGCCCTGTCTGTGGACACGTCTGTTTCCCCTGACAGGCGGGAGACCGGGACCGCGAAGCTTCAGCTGTCTCAGGGCATCGAGTCGGGAGCCTGATTCAGAGCAAGCGCTCGAGCAATGTTTAAGGAATGCAGAATCAGTTGCAGGTTAATGGCTGTGAAGACCACAAGCCGGCAGCTGGGCCACGGAAAAGTCAGAGGCAGCGAGGGGCAACGTACCTGCTTCTGCTCTTCCATCAGCCGCTTCTCCATACATTCTTTGGCAATCCTCAATGCCTCTTTTAACTTTGTGGGGATCTGAAAGGAGAAACAGTACGTAATCTACTGAGTAGACTGACTAGTGACTAGTGAGGATAAGGACTTGAAAGGAGTGTTAGCAATGGGAGAGAAACTGGTTATCAAGAAGGAGGACATCTGGAATCAAGTCCATTACAAATGGTTCACTGGAATCCTCTCAGGGCCACTTTCAGTATTCGTTCATCTCATTAGTATTTTCAAAGCAATGACTACATAAAAATATATATTAAAAAACACACAAAATAAAAAATAAACAGGATCTACGTTTCATGTAATTCAAGTAACTATCAAGGGATTTTGAATGGCCTGCGTCACCTTGAAAAAAAAAAACTGTAGCAATCGCAACTTCTGATTTTCAAATTACATTGTAACGCTATTAATCAAAAAACATGCTACTGCTATAAATGGTCCAAACAGAACATAAAAACTTCTCAGAAATAAACCCCATCACGTATATAGTCAAATGACCTTTGCCTAGTGCACCAATCTATAACATTAGGGGTAGAACTGTTTTTTTTCAGTAAATGACACTGGGAAAACTGGATATCCACATGTAAAGAATAAAGCTTCTTTACAGAAAAATGAGCCTGAAGGGGCTGGACTGATAGTACAGTGGGTAGGGCGTTTGTCTTGCACGTGGCCAGGAGTAATTCCTGAGTGCATGAGCCAGGAGTAACCCCTGTGCATTGCCGGGGTGTGACCCAAAAAGCAAAAAAAAAAAAAAAAAAAAAAAAAGCCTTAAGCTAGAACTCAGGAATATAGCTCAGTGGTAAAACTGGTCTGTCTTGCAGGTAAGAGGTCAAGAGTTCAAACTTAGCACTTGCCCCCCATGCTGAGGGCAGTCCTGGAGCCACTGCTGTCTGGGATCTCAGAGCTCTGCCACCAAGGGGAAGCACCAAAACTAAGCATGTGCCAGTTCTGCAACTAATGTGTGACTGACTCGGGACAGTGCAACAACAAAGAGAAGGGAGACAGATCTGGAATGAAGGGGCTTGGGACATGGTTCAAGTTCATGTGAGGCATGCAAGACCTGAGTATGATCCTCGGCACTAGACAGCCCCCTGAGCACCGCTGAGTAAGGCTTTGTAGACCCTAAGCATCTCAGGTCCTGAGCAGACTGACTGTCACTGGGAGTGGCCCCAGAATCCCCAAGCACTGTTGGGTGTGGGCACTATTTTCTCTAAGTTTTATTTTTTAAATAAATTGGGGGAGGGGGAAAGGAGGGAACTTGAGGTCAGTGGTGGAGGGATTCTGCCATTAGCGGGGGTGGGGGTGGTTAGAGCTGGACCCCGGAATGCCTGTAACGGTGTCAGCAGATTTGTAAATCATAGTGAATTAAAAACAGAAATTAGACTGGGTAGGAGAGATGGTTCAAAAGGCTGGAGCATATCTGCTCTGCACGTGGGAACCCTGGGTTTGATACCCGGCATCTTATTGTACCCTGAGCATGGCTGGGAGTGGGCATCTCCCACAGAAAGAAATTATTTAAGAACTAAACTTCATACCTGACCTACAAATTTCCTACAAGAAAACACAGGGGGAAAGGCCATATATTTGGCACAAGTAGCAAGTGAAAATAGATTGTCACTCAAAAATTTCTGTATATCAAAGGAAATAATCAACAGAGTTAAAAAAAAAACCTGTGGGATAGGAGAAAATAGCTAGAAATCATAACCTGATAATGGGTTAACAGAATACAAAAAGAACTTTAAAAAGAAATATACACAACCCTCAATCTAATCAAAAAAGAAATTTCTCAGACAAAATAGAGAATACCAGTATAATGCCGGGGGATGGTGGGAGGGGGCAGATCAGGAAGTCAAAGGAGAAAAGAGTAAAGGATCTGAATATATTTCTTCATAGAAGATAAACAAATGGCCAGTCGGGGCTGGGTGATAGCACAGCAGGTAGGGCGTTTGCCTTGCCCATGGCCCAACCCGGGTTCAATTCCCAGCATCCTATATGGTCCGCCAGGCACAGCCAGGAGTGATTCCTGAGTGCATGAACCAGGAGTAACCCTTGTGCATTGCTGGGTGTGACCCAAAAAGCAAAACAACAAAAATGAAAACAAAAACAAAAACAAAACAACCGACCAGTCAGCTTAGTTCTCTAAGAACAACTCTAGTTCTTAGAGAAATACAAATCAGCATCACAAGAGACAGAAGGAAGCACACCACCGAAAAAGAAAACCAGAGGGGCCAAAGCTGTAGTACAGCAGACGGGACATTTGCCTTGCACATGCACCTCCCCCACACCCCCACCGGTTCGATCCCTGGCACCCTATACGGTCTCCCTACCACCTTCCGGTGTGATTGCTGGGTGAAGAGCCAGGAGTGAGCCCTGAGCACTGCAAGGTATGATCCATGGCAACAACAACAACAAAAAACTCAGAAAACAATATGGAATTTTTTGAGTGATCTATGGAAAAATCTGAGAGTCTGTGCACTGCAAAGGAGTAAAATCAGGGTTGGAGAGATATACAGCCACCGGGGCATCTGCCTTGCACACAAGCCAACCTAGGTTTGATCCCTGACACCCCATATAGTCCCTGAGCCCCATCAGGAGTGATCCTTGAGCACTCCTCAAGGAGTGTGGCCCAAAGCAACAACAACAAAAAGAATAAAAAATTGTGCTGATATCACGGAAAACAGTACAGAGGTTCCTAAACAAACAAACAAACAAACTAAAACCCAATTTTTCCATATGATTCCAACAATACCACACAGGGTATACATCTAAAAGACTGAAAGAAGGATACCAGAGAGATATTGGCACAATTTATGTTCACAATAGCCAAGAGGTGGGAGGAAAAATGCCTTATCATCAGATGAATCCACAAACAAAATATGGTTTATATACAACCTAAGGGAATAATATTCGTATGTTGAAAAGGAGGAAATTCTGTCACATGAACTTGAGGACATCTCATGGAGCAAAATAAACTGGCCACAGAAGGATATACACTGTATAATGCCACTTAGTTGAGACATTTAGAGTCGCCAACATCAGGGAGGCAGAAAGCAGAGTGTTTTCGACACCAGGTGTAAGGAAATTTTGGAGTTGTTTGATGGGTCTAGAGCAGAGGTTACCAAACATAGTAGGTATCCTTTTTCCTCAGTGCCCCACTGAAATATACTTACTGTAGGTAAACACAGAGAAAATGTCCCCAATTGCACTCAAGGCCACGGACTACACAAGGCCCCCTCCAGCATCACCCCAGGCTGTATCAGCCACTTTGGGACACAATAGTGTAGAGATTCAGCTTGCGAGTATCAAAGAGTTACACAATACTGAGGATGTCAATACGCCAGAACTGTGTACTTAAGGGTTAGAAGACGAATTTTAAAATTATGTTTTTTTTATCATAATTACAAAACTTGAATAAAAAGTTTGCTGAGTCACAAATTCAAGTGCTTCTAATAGTTTATAACTCCAAAGCAACTTTACCAGTGAAGCAATTACTTTCTGAAAGATGCTTTTTCCTTCCGGCTGATACTTTTAACATTCTTCCCAACAACAACAGCCTGGGATGCTGCTGAGTATGCCATTTCTTTTTGGGTATGTGTGTGGGGGCGGGGATTGGGGGAAGGGGGGTTTCTGTGCTAACACAGATAGTCTTCAGGGCACTATATATGAAATGAGTCAGACAGAAAAGGCCAAGTACTATATGATCTCACTTACATGTAGAATCTAAAAACAAACCAAAACACTGAAACCAAAAATTAATCAAAAAAGCCAAACTGAGTGGTAGGATTGGTGTTGGAATATATTGGTGTTGGAATATAGAATGCCTAAAATAAATTATCATGAACAACTCTGTAAACCACAGTGTTTATATAAAGTGTAAAAGGTAAGGTAAAGGTAAAGGCCCTCCCGTTGATCGTCGATTTGCTCGAGCGGGCCCAGTAACGTCTCCATTGGAGACTTTGTTGTTACTGTGTCTGGCATATCGAATACTCTCGGTAGCTTGCCGGGCTCTCCGAGAGGGGCAGAGGAATCGAACTCGGGTCGACCATGTTGGCCGCTTGTAAGGCGAACGCCCTACCGCTGTGCTTCTCGGCCTTTTGGCTAAGATCAAGTGTAGTATATAAAGTGTAAGGGAAAAAAATTACATAAGTAGGCTTTACCTATTCTACGTAAAATCCAAAATATATTAACAAAGAATTGTTTATTAATGGCAGGTGAGACATAATTGTTACCGTAACAACAACCAACTATAAAATAAAACTGAACGTAATATACTTGTAATTATAGATTATAGACTGATGTAATGTGGAGACCAGATTTAAAAACGCATTTAAATGAAAATAGGTATTGTATTATATTGTGTTAAATGGTTTTAATTTTCTTATTTATCTAAGTCCAAAATCATATAGCAATCACTAATTGGCTCTTACATTTCTTGATTTAGTTTCTGATCATTCTATTTGCCGGTTCTTAAAATTTTGTTGGAATAAGCAATATGAAGTAAATCTGTTATGTTTCTCAGGGGGCAGGTTGGGACTGGGAGGGAAGCTGGGGTCACTGGTGTAGTAAAGGTGACGCTGGTGTTGGAACAGTAAATGCTTGAATCAACTGCATAATGAACAACTTTGTAAATCATTGTGTTTTTAATAAAAATTAATTAAAGACCAAACCAAACCAAACTGAGCTCACTGAGGTGGAGAACAGAGAGGCGGAAGCTTGAAGACAAAGGGCGGAGTGAAAGGGTCAAAGGGACGAACTTCCAGTTATGAAAGAACTGAGCCGTGTGGATGTGATGAACAGCATGGTTGTGAAAGTCAATCATTCTTTATTGTCTAAGTCTGTTAAGATCTTCCTTTACTGTCTACTGTCAGTCTGTTAATCTTAAAAATTCTATCACAAGGGAAAGCAAATCTGGGTCGAGAACAGCTTCGTTGGTGGAACACTGTTCCCTGCAGGTGTGAGGCCATGAATTGCACATACTTGTTGAATGCAATCTTGCTGGTGCAAAGGATGTGACTACTGGATCCCCCAGTAGCCAAGGGTGAGTGAGCGTGACATCCAAGGATGTGAGCACCAAGACCGATTGCTGGGTCAATACCTGGGTCAGTAACTCAAGTGTTGGGTCCTGCAACCCAGGGCGAAACCCCGGCACATCACAACTACAGAGCTAACAACAAATGGAATGGAATGGGGAGAAATAATTTAAAAAGAAAAAAGAGGGGCCTGAGAGACGAAACAGTAGGTAGGGCACTTGCCTTCCATACGGTCAAGCCTGGTTCAATCCCCGGCACCCCATGTGGTCCCCAGAGCACCTCTCAGAGTGATCTCTAAGTGCACAGCCAGGAGTAAGTAAGTCCTGAGCACCACTAGGCATGGCTAAAAACCCACCACCACCACCAACGACAATAACAACAAAAAGACAAAAAAATAAAATTTGGCATTATGTCAAACAGAATTATTTTAGTGACCATTTTGCAAAATAATACATGTGTGCATATGTATAAGTATGATCATATATACACCTGAAATTAAAATAATTATCAATTATTCAATGAAAAAGATATATAACACACTTTCAAAATCAGCTTATTTATGTCATAAACCAAAAAAGTATGTTTTACCTTAAACTGTGGTTTTTCAGAAGTGGTTAGTAAAACATCACTGAATAATCTGTAAAAAAAAAAAAAGAAGAAGAAGAAACAAAATCTTTTGTAAAACCACAAGGAGTCTCAGAAGAGGATCAAAGCACAAGGAGACAACCATGGGCATGGGCATGAGCTCCCCCAACCCGTGCAGGGCACCCACTACCCTAGAGGGCTTCCCAGGGGACTGGGTCAGCACTCCATGGGTACTCAATCCCCATTTAGTAACTAAGTGACCCCTCTGAGGTAACATTACAAATATTATTTGTTATATTTATATTATCTATATTCTATTCATAACCAATAGGCAGTAGACAGTTCTAAACAGAATAACTGGCTTTCCTCCACCCAGAGGATAAAATTTATTTCAGAGCTCAATATACCAAAAATCTGCAAATAAATACGAAAGAACTGTTGTGAAGGAAAAAAGACAAAAATAGAAGGAGTCAGAAATGTGGCTCTGGGTGGAGCACTAGCCTTGCATGTGTGAGGCTCTGGATTTGATCCCATGACTCTCCCTTCTTCCCTCTCTCCCTCCCTTCCTCCCTCCCTCCTTCCCTCTCTTCCTCCCTCCCTCTCTCACTTTCTTTCTCTCTCGCTCTCTCTTTCATTCTAATCAGAACCTAATCAAAAAATCATGTTCTACTCAGGAAAGTATTTCTTAAACTCTTAAAACATTCTCTCTTTTAAAAGCATGTTATTAAAAATAATGAGGAATTCAAAACTGCTCCAGCAATTTGAACTGTAAAGATAGTTGCTTGGGCAGTTGCAAGTTTTCTGTGAAGAATCATAGTTGTTGGTTTTTTCCCTTTAAGTGCTAGGAGTTTGAACCCATGACCTCAGATATGTGAGAATCATTCTCTTTTCATTTAACTTAATTTTGGTTTCAGGGCCACACCCAGAAGTGCTACGGGGACCATGTGGTACCAGGAATGGAACCTAGGGCTCCAGCGTGCAAAGTATGAGCTCCAGCCCTTGTAGTCATCTGCCCAGCCACGAATCCTTTTTAAGACAGAGGAATTACACCCCAAGCAGAAATGTCAGTATTAACTTTGCACACAGAGTTCCTGAGGTAAGTCTGGAGACAAAACTTAACCTTCAAGGTCAAAGAGCCACTGCCTTCCAAACAAAATCACACTGATTTATATATTTATATAAAAATAAATATATATAAGTAATTTATATTTATATATAAATATGTAAAAAAATATATATATAAGTAAATCACACCCAGTGATGCTCAGAGATTACTCCTGGCTCTGCGCTCAGGGATCACTCTGAATGGTGCTCAAAGGACCATATGGGGATTGAACCAGAGTCAGCTGTGTGCAAGGCAAGCACCCTACCCACTATACATTTGCTCTTTCCCCCAAACACATTTTAATTGAGCACTTCAAGTGCTCCTCTCAAAGCTGAAATGCACAGGATAGAAAGAATTAAGCAAAGAAATTTTTCTGTCTTTGTCTCACTTTTTGCGTCACAAAAAACAAAAATTTTTCTTTTTTTTACATTTTATTTGGGGGAGGCACCTGACAATGCTCAGGGCTTACACTGGGTCTGCATTCAGATATTACTCTTGGCAGGTGTAGGGGACCCCTCCACGAGACGCTGGTCAGCCATGTGTAAGGCAAATAAATGCCCTATCAACTGTACTATCATTCCACAGATTCACTTTCTTGTTGTTTCCTCTGTGGTTGTTTTGAGACAACGCCCAGCTGTGCTCAGGGTTTACTTCTGTTTCTGTGCTCTGGGGTCATTCCTGGTGGTATTTAGAGAAATCACAGACCATGCTGGGGATCAAACAAGTTTGAGCACATGCAAGGCAAATACCTTACCCGGTGTACTATCTCTGGCCCCAGGTTCACTTTGGAACTAGAGGATGGGGAGAAAAATATCAGCAACTTGGAGTGTGTATGTGTGTGTGTGTGTGTGGGGGGGGGTGTTGCACGTAAAAAAAAACCGAGCACATCCATGTGGATGTGGGGCCTCCCCAACAACAGTGCATTTTCTCCCAAACCTGTGTGTGAGTGGTTCTGCTTCCCTAGCTGAGTCTGTTCTTCCACATTCACATTAGTGACGGTGGTGGCTGGTTAGGAGAGGAGCAAACCAGTGTCAGCTGCACACCTGGACGTGACCGCCACAGGGCAGGGGTCTAGAATGCATCGGGCAGTTCCCTGGCTGCATTAGAGGTTCAACACAAGGACTCTAAGCTCATCACCTCCTCTGAATTCAAGCTGCTCTCTGCCTTTCCCTCAATTACTGTTTCCTGATAGCATCAAGTTATTTGATATCCCCAGATATGTAAAAATGCTCATAAATGTAAGCTGAACAAATATTATTCACAACTAATATTCAGTATTATATTCAGTAAGAATTCAGGAAGTGCCTTGCATGAAACAGAATCATCTCTTTAAGTCCTCTCAGCAGCGGAGGTTGGGAAACTGGTACAAGAGGAGGCTGGGTGTCCCCAGGTCTGTAACCTCAGACGCACCCTTCTTAACCACTCTGCTGCCTCTCCATGAAGTGGGTGGATGGAAAAATGCACCGTAACAACCCCGAAGCAGCCCTTCAACCACCTCAATGATCTAGTCACAACTGTAGAATGGCTTCTGCCTCTCAGTCCCGAGCGCAGTCTCTGGGGCCCAGTAGACGTTGCATAAGTAGAAACAAACACAGGTGCATGGGAGGCGAGAAACACACAGCCCTCCCCCCACCTTGGGCAGGCAGGCAGGCTCCGAGCACTGGCCACAGTGCTGACTTACCCGGTGTCCTGTAACAGGGCTGCCACACATCCACGCCCATGACCACACCCCCACCCCAAACCCCCCACCCCTCACCCCCCACATACACAACCCACAACGCCCCACACACAACCCACACCCTCACCCACTCACACACACACACCCCACACACTTACACACATGCACCCACCCACACCCACACCTACTCACACACACACACACACACACACACACACACCTACACCCCACACATATACACACAACTCCCACCCCCTCCCACCCCCCCCACACACAAACACACACACACACAATGTGCTGAGGTCGACAGACCCACAGTCAAACAACACAGACAGGAATGGGAGCAGAGGATGGACTGTGAGAGCAGAGGTCACCAGAAAGGTCATGGGAGCATGGAACAGGTGACCACCAGCAAGCAGGCCACAGTGACTCTGCGTGGGCCCCAACTGAAACCCAACTGTGGTGGTAGGCCCTTGGGGTAAGGGCCCTGGGTGCAACACACGTGGGGAGACTGGAACCCAGGCGTGGGGTTGACTTACGGCATCTGTAAGAGCCGGGAGATGGTGGGCATGCCATTTTTACAGGCTTCACAAGACAGCGTAGACTCCAACACCGCCACTTGAAATGAACAGATATGCATTTTAGTTCCACAGAACATGCTGGCAAGTCGGCTTTGGTGATGAAAAGTTTGACACCACTTTGCAACAACTGTCTGCGGGCTGATCAGGACAGTGTCAAAACTCTTCACACACAGACAGATGGCATAAGTGGAGAGCGGGGAGCTGGCGGCACTGACGTTACCAATGACTCAGAGCAAACGGTTCCGAGACCACACGCTGACAGAAAGCTGAATGTATCTCAGAGATAATTGGAGGAAGGATTTACGGTTGCCATTCATAAAAGGCTTTGCTCGCGTAAAAAGTAAACACAACGCAGAAGTAAAAATTTGAACTTGAAAGGCATCTTGCTGCTTGCTTGTTTTTAACGAAAGCCAGCACACAAAATGCCATTTGTGGACATCTCATCATCCGACACCTTGGATGATACAAACAAGAGCAGCCAGATTTTCCTTCCCACAGGTCACTGTTCAGTCTCAGTGGTTCCAAGTCAACGCACAGCAGTCTTGGGGCCTGCTCTGGGTGGGGAGGGGGGGGACCTCATTTGATACAGAACCAACACGTGGAGGGCTGACTTGAATACCTCAAAGGCTGGCCCAAGGGCGACTCTGCCCTCCACTCTCCGTCCTAGTCAATTCTGCACTCACAGTGGAGGGGGATGAACGGGTCCCTGGATAAGTTTATACTGGCTGCTACATCCCTCTCCTCGAGGTGCCTTCCATTTGTCCCCTCACGAGTGCTGGAAGAGTTCCTGGGTCTCCCTTTCCAACTGCCTCCAGTTACGCAGGCCTTCCTCAGCTCTGGGCCTGCTGGGCTCCTGTCTGCCTGGTGTGTGGCTCAGGCTCTTGGTTCCATTTTGGTCCCTCTCCAGTCTTGTTTGGTCTGACTCCTGACACCTGCCCAAGTCTGCAAGACTGGCTTCATGTCGCCTGGCCCTGGCTTTGGCTTCTGTATCAGTCCGACCACACTTCCTCTTGCGTCCAGAACTCTAATGCCTGCTCCAAAGAGTCCCCTAAGATTTCGGACAGCCTGACAAATGGACAAGCCATCTGAATTGTCAGTGAAGTGCCTTCTAAATGACTTGCTCAGATCTGCTTTACTTTCAAACCGGGTCAGAGTCCTAGCTTTGGAGCACAGCAACTTCCTGTGGGTCTCTCCTGGACTCAGAGGGGGGTGAGTAGTTCCACAGAATACCAGGGCCCAGAAGATCCTGCTTAACCCCATACTGACCCACAGCCATAGACGGGGCAGGAGGGAAGGAGGCTACTGGCACCGAGTCGGGCGGCCGGCCGTAAGTCATTTCATATAGTAAGTGACCAAAGCAGTGGACGTCCACACTTTCCAATGTCTGTGGAAGAAAAGAGAGCAATGGCTCATTCATCTTGCCATTTGGCTTTGTGACTCTCAGTGCCCCTGGACGAGGCTTCTACGGAGAAGACAGGTCCAGGGGCAACCCCACTCTGGTCTAACACTGAGAACAGAACGTGAGTGCTTTTGGGAAAGATTCGCCAGGCCTGCTCTGGCCAAAGATCTCTGTCTTTCCCCCGCTCATTTTTTTAACTGGTGATCCTACAGCCCTTCTGGCCCTTTCTCTCATTTCAGCTTAGTCGGCCGGGGACACAGAAACCCTCTGTGGGAGCAGTAAGGTCAATAGCATGGTCTACCCAAACCAGATCTTCCCCGCCTACTGCATATTTCATGCTCGGGCAGATCAGGGTCCTGCCAAGGGGGATCGTTTATACCTAAAAATGAACCTGCTGTTTCATGCCTTTCAGCCACTTACATTGATTTTCCTGAACTGGGTGAAATAAGACCGGTAGAATGAAGGAAGACCCAGTAAAGAATTCTCTAGGTCTAGCAGCCGGCAAGTCTCCCCATCCAGCATCACGTTGGAAGCATGAAGATGCCCATATGGAAATCCTTTGTCATGCAGGAACTTTAGTACCTATGAAAAAAATAGGAACAGGTCACATTTGCCCCCTCCTAAATGCCTTCAGCTATCCGATCAGTTAAAGTGCGTAGGGTATTGTTTTGTTTTAATGTGACTATACATGGAAACAAATTCAGACGGGACAGTCAGGGAGCTGCCCCAGGTTCCTTCCCTTGGCGGAGGGAACTGCTGAAGGGTCTCCAGCTGCGGAGCCAGTGACCGTGCTCTCCGTCCCCAGACCAGAGCAGCAGCCGCTCTGCCTGAGAGCTCTCATGCCAAAAGCACCTTCTGACCCCCAAGGGCCAGTTCTCGTCAGGGACGATGAGCAAAACTCATCAGGCCAGCACTGTGGTCAGTGATGAAAAGAAGAGGGCTTGAATTTCAAATACTCCTATCCCAGTCTCTTCTCACAATATATCTGGCTGTTTACGAATAAAAACACATGACAGGTGTCCACAAAAAAGAAGCAAACCTTTCAGCAGCCATGGGATAAACAGGGGATTAAACGGGGGCTCGCCCAGTAACAGAGATGCCTGGATACAGCCCCGCAAAGACCTAGCACAGAGTTAGCCAAAGGGAGTGGCCAGGACAACCTATTGAGGATTGAAAGACAATATTACAATTTCTCTTTCTATTTGTCTTTGTTTTTTAATCTCATTCTTTCTTCATTTACGGTGCGAAAGATATGCTAGTAGTAGGAGATGCAGAGAACACTTCAACATATAAATATAGCACAGCGATGAGGTGGGTGCTGACAATGTTTTCACGGACAGGACTGCACAATCCAAGGAGCCTGGAGAACACTGCTTAGAAAGTGACATGGGAAAAGGCTTTTCATGCTGGTTACACTTCCGGGAGGGAGCCACCTGGCGATGGAGAAGCTATAACAAACTCAGGACTCTTGGCACAAAGAGAAAGACCCACCAAGGATCACATTAAAGTTGGTACCCACACGGTAAAGTTCTACAAAAACAGACACGAAGTTCCGATAGATCCTCCTTGAGGAATAAGCTGATTTAAATTAATATCTAGGTTGGACAGACAACTCGGCAGGCTGGAGCACATGCTCTGCATGCAGAAGGGGTCAGTCTCAGCACAGCACGGTCCCCAGAACATTGCTGGGAGCAACCCCCAAACCACTGAGCTGGGAGTAGTCCCTGAGCAAGCTGGGTGTGGTCCCAACAAACAAAAAATCAGTATCTTTTTTTTTTTTTGGCTTTTTGGGTCACGCCTGGTGATGCTCAGGGGTTACTGTTGGCTCTGCACTCAGGAATTACTTCTGGAGACGCTGCTCAGGGAACCATATGAAATGCTGGGGATCGAACTCAGGTCAGCCACATGCAAAGCAAATACTCTCCCTGCTGTACTATCGCTCCAACTCCCCCAAATCAGTGTCTTAGTTTCAAGTATTTTTTTTCTTTCTTTTTGGGTCACACCTGGCAATGCACGGGGGTTACTCCTGGTGCATGCACTCAGGAATTACTCCTGGCGGTACTCGGGGGACTATATGGGATGCTGGGAATCGAACCCAGGTCAGCCGCGTGCAAGGCAAACACCCTACCTGCTGCACTATTGCTCCAGCCCCTCAAGTATTTTTTTTTTTTTCAGGATAAAATATGACAGGGGCCAGAGAGATAATCCAGGAGTTAAGGCGTGTGTCTTGCATACAGCCAATCTCAGCCCAATCCCTGGTGTCTTCCCTTGCCACCCCCAACACTGTCAGGCATGATCCCTGAGCACAGAGCCAGGAGGAAGCCCTGAATGCAGCCCATGTGTCCCCCAAGCCAGAAAAAGCAAACAAAACCACGACAACACCAGAGTTTATAACCAACCAGTCAAGTTGTGCCAGGAGATAGCCATAGACTGGAGTGCAGGCTTGGCATAGTGTATGCTTGGCATGTGGGGGGCCCACTCAAGCCAGGCACAGCCCTTGCACAGCCTGGTACTGTCAGGTCAAGTAGCTCCGCATTGCTGGGCACCAACACTGAACTTTCAGGCTGTACCAATGAGCCAAGCATCTCCAGGAATAGGCCCCTGGGATCCCCTGAACATTTCTTCTTTTTTTTTTTTTTTTTTTTTTTTTTTTGCTTTTTGGGTCACACCCAGCGTTGCACAGTGGTTGCTCCTGGATCATGCACTCAAGAATTACTCCTGGCGGTGCTCGGGGGACCATATGGGATGCTGGGAATCGAATCCAGGTTGGCCGCATGCAAGGCAAATGCCCTACCCACTGTGCTATTGCTCCAGCCCCCCATGAGCATTTCTTGAGAGCCCATCTCTCCCCCAAGCCCCCAATAAAATCAGACAGCTTAAATTTTCAGATATTGCCTGAAAATCTTCCATGCAAAGCAATGTAATGATGGGTGAAATTTCAACGCAACTTAAACAGAAGCTCAATACCTCTCACCTCTAATATCTGTCGCCCATATGTTTTGATTTGCTGGAGTTCAAGGCCTTGAATCTTCTTAGGGTTGCAGTACTTCTTGAGGAACGGGTCCTTTGGTTTTGCCTTAGGAAGAGTACAAAGAGCGCCTAAGAAAGCAACGGCAAGGGCTGGAGAGATAGTACAGCGGGTAGGATGCTTGCCCTGCACGTGGCCAACCAGAGGTTTCCATCGCCAGAACCCCGTATGTTCTCCCCAAGCACTGTCAGGAGTGATTCCTGAACACCTCCAGGTGTGGGACCACCCCCTCCCAAAAAAAAAAAAAAACCAGCAAGTTGGTTGGCACAGGCACTGGGCATCCCTGTACAGGGCGAGCCTGCAGGACTGATCGTGGGCTTTTAGAACCAACAGTCTATAAAATCAACAGGAAGAGGCCAGTGGTTCTGTTCCTTCTACAGCCTAGTGAAGATGTTCCGGTTTGGCTGTGGCAGATCCAATTATTCATTACTGGATTGCTCCCCTCCAGCCCCAACTTTGAGTCAGTTCAGTTTTGCTTTGTCAAGGAAAAGGCACAAACTTCAAGCCTATCTAAGAAGGAGACAGGAGATAGCTCCAAAGGCTGTTGTGCAAAATTTGCATGAGGAAGGCTTGGGTTCAATCCCTGGCACGGAGCATGCTTGGAGTAACCTCTGGGCACAGCTGACAGGACTCTTCCTCTTCATCAACACCCCCCAAAAAACCTGAGAACACAATTTATCATGTAATGGATATAATCATAAATAATGGCTTATATGTTCAGCCTTACAAATTCAGCTTTCTCTCATATGGGGAAAGGAATTCTCTTTAATCAAACTTGGTAGTTTTTGTTGTTGAAATAAAATTAAATTTCAAATAAAATTTAAATTAAAACAAAAGTCCTTAGGGCTTAGATTCTGGAATCTTGGAGATTAAGTATCAATTACAGGTTTTAGAGGGACTTAAGAACTTCTATATAACCATGAACTTGGACCACATTTACCTTGTAGATTAGGTCCTTCAAAGTTCCTTTTTCATTGAACATCCTAATTAGCAATGCTGAAGACTCATTAGCTGTAGAAAAGGTAACCCTGTAGATGTAAGGGTGCTGCCAAAACAAAAAAGAAGTTCACATTTATTTGTCTTAGCATCAGAAGCATTCAGATGCAGAATCTGATTATGTGGAGTAAAGCACACCTCAGTAGTTTAATATGACCACAGTCACTGAACACATGACAATTCCAATTATTAACTGGATGACCAGCTTATATCTCATTATTTCTCTGTTTTGTGGGCCACACCCGGCACTGCCCAGGAACCAGGTGGCCAACAGGGATTGAACCTACAACTGAGCTCTCCATCCAGCTCAGGATCTCATTCTTTTCGTTTTGTTTTGTTTTGTTTTTGTTTTTTTGGGTCACACCTGGTGATGCACAGGGGTTATTCCTGGTAATGCACTCAGGAATTACTCCTGGTGGTGCTCAGGGGACCATATGGGATGCTGGAAATTGAACCCAGGTCGGCTGCATGCAAGGCAAACACCCTACCTGCTGTACTATCATTCCAGCCCACAGGATCTCATTCTTGAGAAGAGAGAAGGACCGTAAATTATATTGACAAAAGGAAGGCCAGAGAGCTAGCACAGTGGGAAGGATGTTTGCCTTGTACACAGCCAACCCGGGTTTGATCCCTGGAACCCCATAGGGTCCCCCCAAGCACTGCCAGGAGTGATCACTGAGTGCAGAGCTAGGAATAACCTCTGAGCATGCTGGGAATGACTCCCAAACCAAACCAACAAAAACAAAAGAAAGTTTACAGGGTAAATCTATGTGAAGGTATGTACAGTCTCACATCTCTGCAAAAGGATGGTGGAAGACAGGGAAAGTCTGAGTTTGGGAATGAAGGTTTTAATTTTCTGCCTCTGGAAACTGGTAAAGAATATAGTCCAATCCTATCACAGCCAAAGAGGGCCAAATAAAAGTGCTTCACTTACTTCTGCTCAGTGCCAAATCAGAGAACTTGACAGCCAGCAAACAAGAAAAGGGACATCTTGGCCTCTTTCCAAAGCAACTAGCTAGAATCTTTCTATTCTTCTACTGAGGTGTGAAATGTGAGTGAAAATGGTTGCTACTGATATTTTAACAGCTTCATTGAAATATAATAGAATCACATCGAATTACAATCACTTGAAGGGTACAATTCAATGTTTTTAGGCATATAGATAGAATTGTGCAACTATCTTACAATCAATATTTGAACTCTTTTCATTATGCTCCAGAGGAAACTCAATGAAAGAAGTAAATATCTTCGAGCTTATATTGATATAAAGAAAGAAAGAAGGTAAAGAGGAGGTTCTTCCTTACTAGAGAATGTCAAAAGAAATATAGGAAGAACAGTGCGAATTTAGAAAATCTTTTTGTTATTGCTTTTTGGGTTACACTCAGAGATGATCAGGGATTACTCCTGGCTCTGTGCTCAGGACTTACTCCTGGCAGTGCTCGGGAGAACCAAATGGGATGCCAAGGATTGAACCCAGGTTGGCAACGTGCGAGACAAATGCCACACTGACTGTACTAGCTCTCTGGCTCCAAGTCTTAGAAAATCTGAATGATGGCCCAGATGATATGGGTAGGGCACTTGCCTTGAAAGCAGCTGACCTGGGTTCAATCCCTCGTACCCCATATGGTTTCCTGAGAACAGAGCTAGGAGTAAGCCCTGAGCATAGCCAGGTGTGGTTTTAAACAAAAAATCTTAATGAATGTGAAGACTAGTAGGTTTGGTGTAACAGGACTTCTATATGGTCTCAAAATACCGTGGGCTGAGTACAGAGCTCAGTGGTAGAGCACTTGCCTTGCATCTCTGAGGCCGAGGGTTCAATCCCTGCCACTACAAAAACAAAGGGCATGGAGAGATAACAAAGGGGGTAAGGTGCTTGTCTCACATGCGCCAAATTCTGGTTTGATCCCCAGTACCACATGGTCCCACAAATATCACTAGAAGCAACTCCCGAGCATAAAGTAGCCCCTGATCCTGCCAGGTGTGGACCAAAAACAAAACAAAACAAAAACAAAAACCCCACAAAAAACCTCCCCCTCTCAAGTTTTTTTTTTTAAACAGTATATAAAAAATTTGTCACAAATGATCATAAAATTATAAGGGGGGGTATTAAAAACAACCTTGATATTTTGGTTTGGAAATAGGCAGTCAGGTGAGGGAACTCGACAATAAAATTCAAGAATTTATTCAAGAAGGCAGTTACGAGACCCAAACCAGAAGGCTGGATTCTGTCAGGGAGGAGTGCGCAAGAACCAAGGTCCCGATAAGAAGGCAGGGCTAGGAACGTGGCTCGGTGGTAAAGCTCCTGCTCTACATGTGAAAGTGCCAGCTTCTGAGCCCCAGCAGGTCCCCCGGCCTCCACCAGGAGCGACCCCTAGCATGGAGCCCAGAGGAGCCCCTGAGCACTACTGGGGGTGACCCCCAAACAAACTAAACGCAGAAGAAGACAAGAGCCAAAGTCTTTGAGTCCTTGTTCTGGTCCTAATGATGGATTTTTATTGTGGGTGTTGGGGTGGGGAGAGAAGTCACAGCCGAAAGCACTAGGGGTCACTCCGAGCAGTGCTGGGAGATTACGTGGTGCCGGGGAATCAAAGCTGGACTTTCTGCCTCCAAGCTTGCGCTGGGCTGGCTGAGCTCTTTCTGTCCCCAGCAACGAGCAGGATCTGCATGGAAATCTCCAACCCAACTACACACATCCCTATTGGCGGGGGGGGGGGGGGGGGGGGGGGGGAGGGAAAGCATCATTTCTCTCCTCTGTCTTATCTCCCACATTTTCTAAATAATACGACTTCGTTATTCATCTGCTCCTGAAGTCCCTCTCTGTGGGAATAACAAGCCTAACAGAATCAGGGTAGACACTGGAGCTGAATCCTTTTCCTGCAAAGAGCATAACTTTGCCTCACCCTCAGGACTAAGGTCCCCAAAAACTGGGGCAGTAAGACTGGTGAGCACTGTCACACACAGAGCCAGTGGCTCAGGTGTAGGTCAATGACTGCCTTAGAGTGAGACAGAGAGAGAGACAGAGACAGAGAGAGAGACAGAGAGAGAGAGAGAGACAGAGAGAGACAGAGATAGAGAGACAGAGAGAGACAGAGACAAAAAGAGACAGAGACAGCAACAGAGAAACACAGAGAGAGAGAGGGTGTAGAGGGTGTGTGGGTATGTTTGGGTGACATCGAGTAATGGTCAGGATCTGCTCCTGGCACAGTACTCAGAGGTCAATCCTGGCAGTGCTCTGGGGAGCCACACAATATCAGGGCTCAAACCTGGATCTCCAGTGCTCCAGCCTAGTAACCATCTCCCTGGCCCCAAAGCTGAGAGACTTTATTTAATTTAACGTCCACACAGGGCAGCAATTCCAGCAGACAACCCACTCCTGACCTCACCAGGACATAACCCGCCCAAAACATGTCCATACCCCTGGCTGGTTGGGATTAGGAATGACTTTTATTTTCCTATTTTTTTTTTTCTCTTTTCTGTTTCCCGACTTCTCTGCTATTAACAAGCACCATTTACTTTCCTATTTTCTCTCTTTTAATCCATTAATGGAAATTTAGAACTGGGTGCTGACAGCCTGCATCACACAATTTATCAGACTCAAAGATGGCAGCATTTTTCTCGTCTACCCCTCACATCTCATTAAAAGCTGTGTTTTGCTAGCTGGATGAGACAGTCCATCTTCCAAAGCAAACTTGCCAATCCAAATGGACTGGTTGGCAGAACAGTATTGGGCTTCTGAGTGACTCATCCCAGGCCACAGTTAGAGAATTTGAACACTCTCAATTTTTGTTTTTGTTTTTTGATTTTTGGGTTACAAGGGGTAACCCAAATGATGCACAGGGGTTACTCTTGGCTTTGCACTCAGGAATTACTCCTGGCGGTGCTCAGGGGACCATATGGGATGCTGGGAATCGAACCTGGGTCGGCCACGTGCAAGGCAAATGCCCTGCCTGCTGTACTATTGCTCCTGCCCCCACTCTCAATTTTCTGACTAAATTAGTCTTTTCCTGAAGATATTCTGCACATACATACATTCTGGCTGTTTCCACTGAAGGAGGTCTCAGATCTGAATTGTGCACTTACAGAAATAACCCCAGCACTCTAGCAGGAAGGGAGAATAATAATTCAGACAAAGGGGCTAATAGCAAAGAGGCTTTTTTGCTCGTCCCTCATCCGGCTTATCTCAACACACACTAGTTCTGTTTTTTCAAGCCAAAAACCAATCTTTCAGTTCCATCCTCTGTCAGAAGAGGTTCAGAGATGTGGCTACATCCCCGCTCTGAGAGTTGCTAGAACACAAAGGTGACATTTCAGTGACCACATTTCCTGAGTCATGCATGTAGGTGTCACTAAAGCCACTTTAATAGTTCACCTGTCGCCTTTTTCCTGATGGAATCCCGGTGACCATGAGCTTCTACAAGCATGGCTCTGGTACCCGGGAACCAGGACTATTTTCCGAACCACGTGGGGTCTGCCCCGGTTCCCAGGCAACCTCTGATTCGAGAAGTTACGCCCACAACTGCCCCCAGAGCCATCTTACAGCACACAACAGCGAAGAAAACTGGCTGGTGGGCACCACAACTCCTGGAGAATTCTCCGGCCCCGTACTGAGCCGATATCACCGCGAGGTCCCAGATGGGGTAGGTGCTGTCTCCCCACCTTCTCCCAATGGAACCCCAGTGACTGTGAGCTTCTACAAGCATGGTTCTGGTATGCGGGCACCAGGACTATTTTCTGAACTGCGTGGCCACTTAAGAGGCCGAGCGACATTTCCTGATAGCAAAGTGATCAATGGAAAGTAAATGATCTATCGTTTGTCCCTGAAAAACAGGCTTGACCGGGGCTGGAGAGATAGCACAGCGGGTAGGGCGTTTGCCTTGCACGTGGCCGACCCGGGTTCGATTCCCAGCATCCCATATGGTCCCCTGAGCACCGCCAGGAGTAACTCCTGAGTGCAGAGCCAGGAGTACCCCTGTGCATCGCCAGGTGTGACCCAAAAAGAAAAAAAAAAAAACAGGTTTAACTGGTGGTGGGAAAATCTGAGCAAAATATATTGCCCAGCCAAAATGCACCTGGACTGTGCATTTAACTATGGTGCGATGCCGCCCTGGGAGGGGAAGGGTGTCTGTCCCTCTGCCTGTCTTCCCTTGCGGCGGCGACACGGTGGCCTGCATCTTTTAGAGCCTAGTGAACAGGTATAAGACTGCATTGGTGAGGCATGTGGGGCCTCGTGGGATGGGGGGTGGAATTGGCCCTGGTCCCCGCCACAACAATGCTCCGGGTTGTCAGCCTCAAACGCCTCCTCCGGTTTCCGAATGACCATTATCCCAAAGGCACACAAACTAATCTCGGAACCCAGGGACTTTTGGCAGAAATCCCTCTAGGTCTATTACTAAAATATTAGAAATCCAAATTTGCGTGGCTGCTATTGTGGCCACATGACATCATATGCTCTTCATAATCAGCAACAGAAAGCAAATTATCTAATAATGTCTTTTTGGCAGATCTGAATGTTGGGGAAAATTCCAAATAATAATGTTGGGTCTTCTGTCGTAATACTGAATGTGATCAATGGAGAGAGAGAGAGAGAGTAAGTGGAAATCTGCCACACAGGTGGGGGGTGGTGATTGAGAGGGGGGTCTACTGTAGTTCTTGGTGTGGAAAATGTGCACTGGTGAAGGAACGGGTGTTTGATCATTGTATGACCGACTGAGACTTGAACTGAAAGGCTTTGTGACTGTTCTCACGGTGATTCAATAATGAAAAAAAAAAAAGAAGAAGAAGAAATGGTCCATACTATCGGTCTTCAATAATTATTTCCTAGCTGTGGAAGGAAATATTTATGCTCTAGAGGAGGAAAATTAAGATAGTTGATAGATTTGAAGTTTAAAATAAAATGAATAGTAGTCAGAGAGATAGTACAGAGATAGTGGTAGGGTACTTGCCTTGTACATAGTGAATCCATGTTAGATTCCGTGCCTTGCACATGTCCCCTCAACCTTACAAGCAGTGATCCCTAAGCACAGAGCCATTAGTAAGTCCTGAGCACTGAGGTATATCACCCGAAAAAACAAAATAAAAAAGTTCACCTGTGAGAGGAGCCCTTGCAAAATTTTGGTCTTAACTGAAATCCACTATGCCTTTTCATTCTCTTGGACCCACAGGATATTTTTAGCCCTTTCCTGTACAATCACCCACCAAAAAAAACATTGTGAACAAGTGATCAGCACCAAGATAATAAAGAAGGACTTGACTTGCACTCACCGAACAGGAAGGCAGAAGTTTGATTAGACATTGAAAATCTTTATCAGGCAGATACTTGTCAGGGCCAAGGTCAGCCTAAAAATAAGGGTAGAAATATCAGGGTTGTTGTCTTAATCACCAATATAAAAATTATTTGTAAGTCCTTCCAAAAAATTATTTAGTGCCTTTCCTTTATTGTTTATTTATCCAAATATGTCTCTGTAAACCAAAAATGAAATCACTGTTTGTTGTCTCAAAGGCTTCCAGGAGAGACAGTATACAAATACACCACGATGTAGGGACCAAAGAGATAGTACAGCAGGTAGGGTACCTAGCCTTGCATGAAACTGACCTGGGTTAGTTCCTGGTACCCCATAATGAGAAGTAAGCCCTAAGCACCACTGGTGTGGCCCCAAAACAAAAAAGAAAATTAAAAATAAACCCACCGGGATTTAACCGTAACTTTATCTAATCCCATTTACCAAAAGTATTATTAATACTCCCAAAGTGAAAGATTAAAGCATTGTGCAAGAATATTAGAACTGTAGCAATACTGCAAATTTGCCAACCCTAAAAAAAACTTCAGAAGATTCTTTTAAGCTATTCCATTTCTTTCCAAATGTTTACCAGTTGATCAAATATAATCACATTGACAAAACCAAACGCAGATGCAAAGTGACTTAAAAATCATGTCCCTTGATATGGGAATAAGGAGGCATTTGTACCATAACTCAGGAGCAGAAACAATGACGTAATTCTCTTGTCCATACATGCTTTCATGTAAAGTTCCTGAAATAAAACCAAAGCGAAAACAAACAAAATAAAACAAATTAGCTTACCCAACTTAACACTAGCCGTTCCTTTGGCTGATTTTTAATCTTCATCAAGAAATATTTTTTCCTTATCCTCCAACCTGCCATTAAAAAACAGAGATGTAGGGCTGGAAAGATAGTACACAGGTAGGTTGCCTTGCATGCAATCAACCAGGGTTCATTCCTTGGCACCTCGTATCTCCCCCTGAGCCAGGAGTAAACCCCCAGCACTGCCAGGTATGATCCAAACACCAAAACCAAACAAATCAAAAAACAACCTCCACCCAGAGATATGACTATGGCTATGAAAATTTTCTATCAATTGATACATTTTATTGACTAAAATATTTCAGTTTTGGAGAACAGGAATGTAGTTTGGTAGCAGAACACATATTTTCCAAGTATGAGATCTGGGTTTGACCTTCCAGCATCAATATTAGTAAGTACAATTAAATAAAAAATTAAGTCTGGGCATATAATCCATAGCCACAGAGGTACCAGTAAAGGAGACCAATAACCATTCAGTAATGTCATGGTAAAGGCTGCACTGAAAAATAATTTCTTTTTCATGAAATCACTCAAGGAAATAGAAAAAACAGCATATTGGTTTAGATTTAATGGAAAAAGACAGATGAAAAATGAATGATGCTTCAGAAAGTTGGGGCCAGAGTGAGAGTACAGCTGGCAGAGTTTTCCTTGCAATCCCCAGTACCACATATGATCCCTAAGCGCAGAGCCAGGAGTAACCCAGATCTCCACTGGGTGTGGCCCCCTACTCCTCAAAAAAGAAGAAAGCATAAGTTACTGTTATGGTGTAAACTTAGCCTATGCATCTGTCACTTTGATTTTGTAACAAACCCTTCATGATTTTGCTTGTGATTAAAAAGTTTTAAAGACACCATCCTGTCTGCATTTGGGATGAATTTTACTGTTCCAAGCTAAGAAAACAGTGATTTTCTTAGAACTGGGTTTTCTTAGAAAATGCTGAGTTTCTTGGAAACTCCCTGTAGCCATGCTGATAAGATGCTATGATGTAAGCTTGCCTCCACTTCACTACGTGACATATGATCATCATGAACTTGAACTAATGACCAATTCAAACAGGTTCCTGGACCCTTGAGCATTCTCTTAGGCTTCAGGTGTTGCCTGGCCTAGATCCAGCAGTCTGATTCACCAGTGTAAATAAACATCTCCTTATTCTCCTGCCACAACTCCTGTTACAACAATGCATCAACCAAATATCTGGAGCATTAACAAACATTTGTTAAGTATTAAAAGTTAATATATATATGCCTCTTGGAGAGCCCAGCAAGCTACCAAGAGTATCCTGCCAGCATGGGCAGAGCCTGGCAAGCTCCCCATGGTGTATTCTATATGCAAAACCAGTAGCTATAACAGGTCTCATTCCCCTGACCCTGAAAAAGACTCCAATCATTGGGGAAGATGAGTAAGGAGAGGCTGCTAAAATCTCAGGGCTGGGATGAATAGAGACATTACTGGTACCCACTTGAGTAAATCGATGAACAATAGGATGACAGTGATGACAGAAAAGTTAAAGAGTGGCTGGAGAGATAGTACAACAGGTAAGATGCTTGCAATGCATGCAGCTGACCTGGGTTTGATCCCCATCATATCGGATGGTCCCTGAGCCCACCAGGAGTAATTGATTCCTGAGTGCAGGGCGAAGAATAACCCCTGACCATCACCGGGTATGCTCCTCCCTCCGAAACACACACCAAAAAAATGTTAAAGACTGTTGGGAATAGAGCGATAGTACAGTGGGAAGGACATTTGCCTTGCAAGCATATGACCCGGGTTCAATCCCAAGCAACCCATATGGCTTCCTAAGCCCCACCAGGAGTGATCCTTAAACTCAGAACCAGGAGTAATTCCTGAGCACTGCTAGGTGTGGCCCTAAAAACCAAAAGCATAGTAAATGATCTAGTTCTGTGAATTTTGTTAAACAGAATGAGTATTTCTCACCTATGTCTTTCAAGGGTTCCACCACTTCCCACTTGGGTTCGGACCGGAAGAACATGGAAACCTGTTGTAAGGCAATCTCTGCAAAGACATTATAGAAACTCTTTAATCAAACATACCGGGAAAGCAGCATATCCTTAACACAGACTTACAAATGCTATCCTTATAGACTAAGACCTTAAAAAAGTTAATGACACAAATATGTGAACACAGACTAAATGCAATGGAAAATTCTAGACTGGATCCTGGGACAACAACCAAAAATACATCAGTGGGAAAATCAGACAGGTACAGAGAGGCCAGGAGTAAGCCCTAAGCACTGCCAGGTGGGGCCCCAAAATCATAAAAATTAATTAAATTAAATCTATAGTCAGTAATGCAGCAATGTCAATTTCTTAGTTTTGGTAAATGGGTTGTGGTTGTGTAAGATGTTAACATTAGAGGAAACTGAGTAAGGGATTCGTGGTACATAGGAACTGTGTAATCATTTCCATTTTCCTATAAATTTAAAACTAGTTCCAATAAAAAATTTGCTTAAAAATCACTAATAATATGATATATGTATATACACACACATAACACTGGAAGACCTAGCTTACAGAAACAAAAAAACTGTGGGGCTGGAGCAATAGGCTGCCCCGGGTTTGATTCCCAGCTTCCCATATGGGCACTACCAGGAGTAATTCCTGAGTGCAGATCCAGGAGTGACCCCTGAGCATCTCTGGGTGTGACCCAAAAAGAAAAAAAAAAGTTTATACCAGACCACGAAAGTTTATGCCAGACCACTACCCAGCCGCCGCCACGCTCCAGGACGCTTTCCGGACCGCGCGGCCGCGAATTGCCGTACCATATTTAATAGGGTTCAAATATGGTTTGAACCATGGGAACACCTACAATGGCGATTAGAGTCCGCCCCAAAAGCCTCTATCCCTCATGGAGAGCCTGGCAAGCTACCGAGAGTATTCCGCCCGCACAGCAGAGCGTCGCAAGCTATCCGCTGTGTATTCGATGTGCCAAAACCCAGTAATTACAATGGGTCTCATTTCTCTGACCCTGAAGGCGTCACCAATAACGAACAGACGCCATTGGGCTACACTAGCATGCGACAGGGACAGATGGAGACATTACTGGTGCCCGCTCGAGCAAATCGACGATTAATGGGAAGTCAAGTGATCAAGTGATCAAGTGATCCCAGACCACAACTCAAGTATAAAACTTAACATGTATTCTAATCTGGTATGAGATAGAGACAGAGAGAGACACACAGAGAGACAGAGACAGTGACAGAGATAGAGACAGAGAAACAGAGACATAGAGAGATGCAGAGAGACAGAGAGATGCAGAGAGAGAGAGAGAAGAAAAAGTGTTCTGAAAAGAAAAAGCATTTTAAGGTCAGCTTGAAATAGCATTTAATGCTGCTCCCAATGAAACTCATTCCATCTTCATTCCTTTTGGAATTAAAGCTTTCACCAACAAAGTGATTAGTATTAAATATATATTAGAAATAAAATCTAGTGTACTAGAAAAAAATCTTGTACAGCAAAAAGCATAGTTGTATTATGGGAAGTGTCCATGTGCCTGTTTTCTGAGAAAAAAAAAATTGGTCCTTTTTGTGCTCATTTTTTGTAAGAATGTTTCCCCCTCTTAGAGAAGACAATGAGAAGAGGAAGTTCTTTCAAGTTCACTGTATTAAGAAATTACCAGAATAACTATATACTTTAGTATTTCCTGCAAAAATGTGGTATCTGGGCTGGAGAGATGGTCCAAAGGGCCGGAGTCCTGGTTCCCATCTTCAGCACTGCATGGTTCCTCTAACACCACCAGGAATGGCCCCCCGGCAACACACCAGCTCTCTTTCCAGCACAGCTGCATGTGAACCAAAGACCAAAACAAATCCCAAAGCCCTGTAATTTGCTCTATCCCCGGGATGCAATGAGTAAATGATGCCTCTTCTGATTTCCGAGAGCAAACAGCAAGCCTGCAAATTCCTTGTGGAATTTCACCTCTGCCTGGCAATAATTACATTCCAGGCCAACTGGTGAGACATGAGGAATTTGGCAGGAATGTTCTTCATATGTCAAAATGACCTAGTCTGCAATTACCATGCCAAAGCTTGGTAAACACTATCATTTTGATATTTTTTATAGTTCATTAGGAGTAAAGAGATTTGATTGAGAAAATAATCCACTGGCTCTTTGTTTAGTAACTTAATGGCAGACGGTCCATCTACCTCCCTAGGAAAAAAAGCATGAGATGATCTAACAAAAAATGGACAGCATTTCAATTTCTTTCAACTACTCCAGTGGGACAAGCCAATGGAGGGACTGGATGTGGCAGAGACAGAGGGAGTTTCATGATCAACATTGGGACCTCCCTCACCCTCCTGCCTTAACAAGATGTTTCAGTGTTTCTAAAATAACAAACAAAAAAACTTAAATTATTTAAACATAAACCTAAAATACAATTTCAAGTGGGAATCACTCACACATCTTTGAATAGCGCCATAAGAGATTGTTTTCTAAAAGGCTATGCTACCATTCTGAGGTACTGTAAGGGACAGTAGGATCGAAATGAACAGTGACTCATAATTCCTCACAAGCCATTATTCATCAGCGTTTGCTGTATATTGCCACGTACCAGACATTATTTTAGGACCAGGGAAGTAGCTACAAACCAACGGGACATGCTCTAGATTTGTTACTGAAATTGGGAACTGAGACGTTACCTTTTAGTCTTAGACATCAGGGAACGGTAGAGGGGGCACTGCTTTTCCACTGAACCATGAGTTACTGTCCATGAGTTACTGTTGAATAAATCACATGACTACCATGCTTCCCACATTAACCCCTCCCTCCCCAGACTCAGGCAATACACTTTATTTTTTTTTCAAGCAAATAATGTAGGAGTACTGCTATTTGTTCAGCCATTGACTAAGCTCATTGAATTGGGCATGAACTCCACAAAGGCAATACACTTTAATCCTAAATCTTTAGTCCTGGAGCCAGAGGGATAGTACAGTGGGTAGGGCACTTGCCTTGCACACAGCCGACCCGAGTTCAATCCTCAGCATCTCATATGGTCCTCGAGACCAGCCAGGAGGAATCCCTGAGCACAAAGCCAGGAGTAAATCCTGAGGACAGTGGGGTGTGGCCCCAAAACCAAAAAATAAAAGGAAAATTTAAAATAATGACCCTTTAGTCCTTGGTGTAGATGCCTTTATGCTGCTCATCTGGCCGGGGCCCCTCTCCTGTCCTTTCTCCTGTGTATTCCCCTGGTGCTCTCTCTGTCTCTCACGGGGGGATCTTCACCCAAGGGCTTCTCTGTATTAGGGTCACCGTCCCCAGAGATTTTAAACTCTGGCTGGAAGAATATTCTACTTTTTGGGGGCCACATCAGTGGTGTTGTGGGTCCCCTCCCAGAGCAAGCCGCGTGGGGGTTCCCCTGGCAGTGCTTAGAGGACCATGTTGACCAGATAACCAAGCATGTGCCCAGCCCTTTGCGGCCCCTCCCTGCCCTGGAGGGCTACATCTTAATCTCAGAAGCATCCGTGGACATGTGGAAATATTTCTCTCTCCTGGAGTAGTGGGCCCTGCCTCTCAGTCAGGCTAACTGGTGCCCACCAGTCAGCACTTCCTCTGGGAAGCCCTACTTCATTTTCAGATCTGGGTCATCTGTGCCCTCACCATCACCCCTACCCTGAAAGTGTCGCCTTGGGTCAACCTGGCCTGTCACCACCTGTCACTGTCTATGCAGGTGTGGCCTGGGTGCCTCAGGGGGGATACTCCTCCCTCGTTGCTATATTCGAAGCTCCTGGCACATGGTATACAGTAAACACACGGTTTCAATAGATGTGGCCGCTCTCCCTCCCCCCGAGAACATAAGCCCATGAAGAGGAAGCTAGGACGCCATCTGCCCTTTATTGCTTTGGCACCCACTGATCCATAGGGCAAACGAAAGCTCAGGAAACGCTGATGAGCAAAGCCCCTGACAGGAAATGCAGAATGAAGCCTTTGAGTCCTTCCTGTGCTTCCTCCAGCGCTCAGATGTTTCAGCTGAGAACATACCAGCTACCCGCACTGTGTGCAGCCTTTGTGCTCCTAGACCCCACCTCCCTCCCCACCTCCTGGGATGACTTCGGGATGCAAACGTGGTGGAGACCATGCACCTGGGCTTGATCCCTACCCGTCCAGCAGGTGGCGATGCAGAGGCTGTCATAGGGCATTGGCTTTTCAGATTACCCAGGCAACCGCGGGGACTCAGAACAGTTTCCCCACCAGCAGCTCCTCCTCCCCATCCCCCTTTTCTCCCTGGAACCTATCACTACCCTCCACTCTCTACCTATTCAAGTCAGCCCTACCTATCTGGTGTCAGGAGCGACAGGAGATTCACCCTCCTCCCCTCTCCTCTCTAATTTTATTGGCTCAGACCCCAAGGAACAGAGAGGAAGAAAGGAAGCCGCTGACTAAGCTAGGACCAGGATCCAGGCCTCCAGATTTTTGGTACGGTACAAGGGATTTCAAGGACAGTGAAAAAAAAAAAAAAACCACTTCTGTTTTTTTCCAACTTCTAGTGGTGGTTTTGTCTTGTTTTGCAGTGTAGGAGAGCAAACCCAGAGATTCAGACTTGTCATTCAAGCGCTCTACTGCTGAACTATGGAGCTGTATCTTTAACCCCAAAGCTTATGCTACTTTGAGAGGTAGTTTTTCTTTGGGGGGCTACCCCCAGGCCACACCCCTTCCACCAGGGCTCAGGAAGATCATCATAGTGGTGCTAGGAACAGGCGGTGCTAGGGATCAAACCAGGGTCCAGCGTTCTTTCCAAGCATGTGTTCCAGCCCTTTGCGCCGGCCCCGCCAGAACCCCAAACCTCTACTTTTAAACAACAGAAATTCCTTACAAATAAAGAGCTAGCTCAACAGGTTGAGTACAAGCTGGTGTGTAGGAGACCCAGATTCAATCTGGTCTCTCATGGTCCCCAGCATCCCTGAGCACTGCCTGCTGTGCCTGCCTGCTGAGATAAAGAGAGCCAGGGTCCGGGTCTGGCTCCCCAGGACCACAAACTCTCCTGAGCTAGGAATGGCC